TCATAGGTATTTTCTAAAGCTTTAGAAAACGCAGCGGGCAGCATCGGTTCGGAGACGGCGTTGTCCATTCGGCAGCAGCCTCGCCCCGAGGTATTTAAAACTATCTACTTCAAGTTGACAGCCGAAGGGTGCCTTCTACCGGTCAAGGATATAGCTTGAAAACACCAGTCTTCCCAGCGCTTATGGATAAACTGACCAATTTAGCGACCTCGTTCACCCGTGACACCATAGACTGGAGACCACCAAAACTTGAACCTAGTACGGCCATATCTCCGGCATAGTTGGGACCAGTCAGCCGGTGTTCGGGTGCAAATTCAACACTGTCATCTTCTTGTAGGGCCCTCCAGTTAATCCAGTCAATAGCGTAGTTGAACAGAATGGGCAACAGGATACAACCCTGTCGAACGCCAGACGGAATACAAAACAGTTTGGGAAATTGTTACGGATCAGAACTCACCCTGTGCTGGAGCAGTAATAGCTTTAATCATTGGCAATGATTTTTTGGCGGTATACCATCTAGTGTCATTATCCGCAACAAGGACTGACGATGGAAGGAATCGAACCTAGGGGCTAAGGAATCAAAACAGACGGCCCACATGTAACCGAAACCCAGTTTTTACTATCAAAAGTTACAAATGAATGGAACAAAAGTTTATTACACAAAGTTACAACAAGTGTTCAAAATATAGACCATTGTGTAATTATTTACTGTTACGACAACACGGCCTTTTTAGCTTCTACCTTTGTTGTCAGTACAGCAAATAATTACACAATTGTATACTACTGGCTGCCTGTTGTTGGTTTTTGAATATTACGCGGTTATTTCCCAGTAGCTGATGCATTCCAGCTCAAACATTCACATCCATTTTCGGACCGCGCCTGAAAAGGTCTGTTCCGAAGGATTTACTCCAAGTTTGCGCATTCATTTCCACGGAAATTAAACAAGGCATATAGATCATTATTTGCACTAGTGTTGCGACATCATCTAATGGCTAAGTCAGTTACTTTTTGCACGTCCTCGGTCTGATATCTGCCCATGTCTTTCTGATGCTCTGCTTCAGATCATCAAGCTTTTTTCGTTTATTGCTGAAGTCGAGAATATTGAGGTCTGGGGACCCTGCAGGCCGTTTCACGGCACCGCGATGGCCACCCGGAAAATGTTCATCGGGCGGCTCTCGGACAGAGAGACCATTAATGAGCAGCGGCGCCGCCATTCTGCTGAAGCACAAATCAGTGAATATCATCTGCGCGTTGAGACACTACAGGCCACAACTTTTAATTTAACATGATATGATTCGGGCGTCACTGTGTTAGCAAAGAATAACGGGCCTATTAATCCTATGCTGAACGTGCCACCTAAAGCAGGAACCTCGGGCAAATGAGGCTCCTGTTGCAATACAGTGAGTGACCGATCTCATGAAATGTTGGCTGAAATACTGAAATGCGTTTTTGATTAGGAAGGATTACTTAGGCTCGGTTGTTATACTGACCATCTTGCAGCATAATCCTATAAAATCTCAGACTCGGCAGGTTGTCGGCTTTTCAATCCCCTGTAGAAACTGTACTTGATAAAGAATGACTGGTTAAGTAGCATGCAATTTTACATTGGTTTTCAATGGTCTTGCGACTGAAATATATTTTCGGAGAAAATACGAACAAAAATATGCTTTCTTTCAGTCGTTTGATAGGGAAACATGTCATTTTTTATATTTTATATCCGAAGAAGGAGTATAACTAGGTTTTAAAAAGGTTTCTAATTATGAGATTACTTAAGGCCGTGCAATGTCCACCATACAGCATCGCACTTGTCCTTTTACCACTGCTCCTCATGAAATGTACAACATAGTCTGCATCCATTGCAAAATTTTATGGACTCCATACGGTATCTTTTTGAAGACATGGAAGAATATGTGATTTTCTTTACGCTGAACGCATGCACCTTGTAGACTGACATCACGAAGCGCTAATGCAACGTCCGATCAGACTCCAAATGATTCGGGAATTAGGAAAGATTTTTAAAACCTAATTGTACTCCTACTGCCAGTATAAAATATGAAGATGACATGTTTCTCTATTAAACGATTGAAGGAAAGCATATTTTCGTTCGTGGTTTCTCCAAAAATATATTTAAATTTGCGAGACCATCGCAAATCAGTGGGAAAAATGCACGCGACTTAAGTAGCCATTTTGTACCTTGTACGGTTTCTACAGGAGATTGAAAAGCAGTGCATTCAAAAGCTGACCTCCTGCCGAGTCTGAAATTTTATAGGATTATGCTGCAAGATAATCCAGTATTACAGCCGCGCCTAAGTAATCCTGCCTAACCGAAAACGCATTTCAGAAATTCAGCCAACATTTCATGAGATCGGTCACTCACTGTATGTCATGTGGATTTGAAGCTGACCAATAGACGCAGTTGTCTCGATTCGTCCGACCATTTAGTTTTAAGCAGGTTTCGTTCGACCAGATAATGTGGTTTAAAAAGTAGGGGGACTCTTCGCATGCAGCCACGAAAGCTTTACGAAATGGATTACGTCTGTCTCCGTCATCTGCGTCAAGAGCCTGAAGTCCACACGGACGATATGCGGTGCAAGCCGATAGCCGGCGTTATCCGTTGTAAAGACGATTGCAGAAGCCCGTCTCTGAGATTTTCGGGGGCTATTGACGCAGGATGCTGCTACCAAATCTTGACTAGCTATAGCCTGTACTGTTATTGACGCACCAGGTCTATCCTCGTTTGCAGTGTTTCCAGTTTGTCCGATTTTGATGGAAGTGATGCATCAAATGATTCATTCTAATGTCTATACCATCATTATTGTCGTGGCCCGAGTAATAATAATTTTTAGAAGTATGAATACGTCCCTCGATTCGAAGGTTCATTCGCAAGGTTTACACTTCGAACATTTACCGTAACTTATGGAATAACATTTCCTTCTATTCATTTGCATCTTTTAATAATAATCAGGGTTCAATTACATCTGAACCGCCCTCTATATCGAAAACAAATATTTTAGACGAATTTTGCTCAAATTACCGGAGCGCATTTTCCTGCTTGTTCGGGACCTATGCCATGCCCTTTGTCTGTGTTGCCTTTCCCACTGGCGTTTCGCTTTGCTGAGCTCTTCTTGTCCTGATCTAGATAAGTCGATTTGCGCCAACATTTTATGGTTCTTTGTCGTCTCTAAGCACCACCTCCTGAGCTCTAGTCACGTTCGGCTCTGACAGCGCATGATCCCACTGCCGGACACACTGGTCCCTCTGCCCACGGACCCGCTTTGCGGTCACCGGGGAGGGAAACGCCTGAGCCCACGCACTGGAGAATGCATGGTGACTGTTTGGGCATTTATTTATGATATTCGGCACCAAACTTCCCCCGTTCGACTTTCTCAGTTAGTTTTCTTTCCTTTAAAAAAAGACGAAGGCACGATCACTGGGACGGCCTCCTCGTCTTTTCTTGTAAACTGAATGTCGGGGAAGGTGCTGTTAAGCAAGTCTTGAAAACCCGATAGCCTGTCCTTTTCAATAATGACGAATGTATCGTCCATGTATCGGCGCCAATACGCAGGTTTGTAGTGGCTGAAAGCAACCTTTTCCAGGCTATCGGGTTTTCAAGACTTGCTTAACAACATCTTCCCCGACAGTACGTTTACAATAGAAGACGAGGAGGCCGAGAAACTACCCTTCCTTGACGTGCTCGTCACGCGCACACCTGATGGTAAACTCAGCATTACAATGTACAGAAAGGCTATCAATACAACTCAGGTCCTCAACTATCATAGCAACCACCCATTGGTGCACAAACGGGACTGTGTGAGGGCGCTTTTCGACCGCGTAAAAACGCACTGTAGCGAGCCCGAAGGAAGGATGCAAGAATTACGGCATCTCAGGGACCAATTAACAAAGAACGGCTACCCAAATAGTTTCATCAGCCGCTGTATACGCGCGCACCCACGCCGGACAAACAGAATAGAGACACCAACAATTTGGCACACCCTACCATGCATAAAGAATGTGTCTGAGGCTACAGAACGCCACGGACGTAGTTCCCCCTCCCCCCCTCACGACACAACGATATAAATGTTCGCACGTTGCTGCACTCTAGCAGTCTCTGATGATGAACTCCAGTTCAAGTTCAAAAGCTAGGGCCACTAAATCTACCGTCCCAGTGATCGTGTCTTCGTTTTCTTTTAAACAAAAGCCTGGGATACGCATACTCTCTTCCATTCGTGAGTTTTCTTTTCTGGCAACAGGGTCCATCACAGTCTGATGTTGACGTAGTGGCGATCTGCCCGATGAAGCTGGCTTGTGACGCATCTACTTCATTCCCTCTCCCTATCTCTCCCACATCCACTACTTTCCGATAACAGGACAAAGTCGAAATGACTGCTGATGGGGCTGCATCTGCGTGCCAAACACGCGCTAATCTCTAATTCCACATTAACCATACTTAAAAATAGAGCGGCCTTGGATCTCACTGAGGTGACAGATGTCCTACAGGCCACTCTAAGAAGTTGTTGCTGTCTTGCTCTCATTTCGACCAAGCCCTCTTATCCGGTGGCAACCATCCAAGCCACGACCGTTGGTGCACTTGACTGGTTGTAGTAGTAAGTGCGTTGAATTATCATGGGATAGGGGATGCTATTATCGACTTAGCTCCCTGTCTTGACACCGGATGAGGGAGGAGAGATCGCGGTTGGTGCTGCACAACTTAAAGCAGGCATGGACAGCAGATTTTTTTGGAACCAGTAAATTTCGCGACGGCCTATCAACTGCAGCCTGTCGTTGCATAACACAGATAACAAGTGAGAGGGGTACAGAGGTTTGAACTTCGACAGAGAAAATCAGTGTAAAACAGCAGGGTCATTGTATGCTGCACGTAGACTAATCAATAAAATTGTAACTTCAAAACGCAACATAGGAAAGAAAGTGGGGAAGTAAACTCGTCGAGGGATTTCGTAAATCAAAAGGGCTCAGGTCTACCAGGGCAAGCTGGGGCTGACCATGTGTTCTAACTGTTTACATAGGTCGGGTTTCTCCCGCCGTATGTAGGCTGCCTCCAGGTAGCGCAGTAACTGAGTTGTTCGTGCTCGAACTAATACTCGAAAAGATGTTTTGGGGTCAACTGAATGACCACTATCAAGGAGGTGTTTTGTAATAGAAGACCGTGGAATCTTATTCTCCTGCTTTAGAAGCCATTTAGGCAGGTGCTCAACTGCTCTGGCTGCCAGTTGCCTTTGCGTTCGCCCAATGTACTTGCATCCACAAGTGCATGTAAATTCGTAAACACAATTCGAAGTGGAGCCCAGTGGCAAGGCATCCTTCGCCCGTAGAATTTATATAGCCTTAGTATGGCTGCAGAATATGAGTTCATCTGAGTTGTATGTTCTTTCAATGGCGCATCTCAATCGCCGCTTGATGGTATTTTAGATGTTGTCACCCTTGAAGGGTAAGGATATTACAACCGGCTTTTTCGGAACCGATTGCTGTCAATTCTGGCCGTAAATTGTTGCTATACTTTTCGATGAATCGTGTTGGATATCCCCGTTTAAGCAGGGCTGTTTTGAGGAAAGAAATTTCATGATCTATCGTTTCAATAGAGCAAATGTTTCTTGCCTTTTGGAATAGTGTGTAAACCAAATTTCGCCTTCGTTGTATTGGGACAAAGCTAAAAAGTGCAGGTATTGGCCTTTCGATGCATCCTTTTGGAAAACAGATCGCCTTATTGAACCATCTTCCTGTCTAGTCATGAGGACATCCAGAAAAGAAAGCTTGTTGCACTGCTCCTTCTCCATTGTGAATTTAATCTTAGGATGGAGACTGTTCATGGCAACAAGTAGGTCTTCGGCTTCGTCGTCGTTATCAACAATAGCAAAAATGTCGTCTACATACCTTTTGTACAGCGTTTTCATATTCAATTTTGCTGACAACTTTTCTTCGAACTGTCCACTCTCCCCTCTCCCCCGGTGAACCGTCCAAACCTGTCAGCTGACTAGTAATAAATTGGGTGCACTGATTGACGTGGCATCAGCCTCCGTCTAACGCCTGCAACACGCATGTACTGCATTTGCTAAGAACGGAACACAACCCAGCTGCCACGTGTCATTTACAACTGTGACCCCCGTCATGCTCTAAATTAACTACGTCTCAACTCGTTTGGAGAGGGTACTCCTAATCACAAGACATTACACTGTATACAAATTATGAAATTTATACGTACTGAAATCTAGGCGGAGCTGTTATCATTATGACGGCCAGTCGCGTTCAATGCTATCATCGAAAAAGGTCTTCATTGTGACACTGTCATTCCTTATCCAGAGCTAATTTCTAGTTGTTACCTAAGTTTTTATCGAGTCGTGGGGGGCACGGGTTTGTCGTCGCGATTTCAGCCTTCTATCCGGCTGCTCTTTTAGGAAGGCATTGAGAAACAGGTGACTCCTTCAGAGTGTCCCAGTTAGTCTCATCTGGAAATTCTATTTTCTTCAATAAGCTACTGTAAATTCTTTACATTTGATAGAGCCACTGGCAGCACCCAATTGCCCTTCTACGACCGCCGCATCCTTCTACCTCAACACACCTCCGAAGAACGTCTTCGCCTCCCTTCTTGATGTAGGCACACCAACGCAGCAAAAATCACTTGCCACTAGTCCATTTGTGGCCGCTTTCAATTCTCCTGCACCGGCTCCCTCGACGCCTCTGATGGCCAGTACCCTCAGCAACAGTGGACTGCTAACTTTTGGACGTTCGGGTACTCGCCCCGTCTCTTCACGTATATCGTCCTCCAAGTCGGAAGTTCCGATATCACCTCAGGTCTTCGACGAAGCTGCCATGTTCCTGGGAGAGGCTGAGTTCCTACGGAAGACAACGCCAGCAAGAACTACCGTCGCCGAAATTGTCGCCTCCCCAACCGCTAAAATTATGTCGGGGTCTGCCGCCCGGTTAGTTCAAAATATTTCTGTCGAGGTTTACTTCTATGCCTTTTTACATCGGGCAAAATCTCTCTTACCCTTTTTTCTTCCAAAGCATGTGCGGTTTCACCTGTGCTGCGTCACTTTCTGTGGTACACTTCTGTGGTCACTTTAAATGCCTACTTGCACACTGTAAGTAGCTATGTTTATCCTCATACATTTCCAGGAAACGGCTCCAACTCAGTCCGATAGCCCCTTCCGACGACCGCTGCCTAGCCTCTCAGAAACTCCTGAAACAGGCACAATCTATTCCGGCCGATCTCGTCCAGCGAGGTGTAGAGGATACGCCACCCTCCTGTCCCTCTCCTGGTGGACGACTGAGCACCCGATCTGCCCAAGCCCCTTACAGCCCGACAACCGCCTTGCGTTCACCCCTGTCTCCGTTGCAGTTATCCAGTAACAGCAGCTTCCGGAAGTACCGGTCCGACTTTATGCCGCCGTGAGCCTCTTTTTGATCTTCTCTTTTCCAAGCAGTCAAAGGCCGAACTCTGGTGCCATTAATCTCAGCGTCTTTTTCAAGTCCTATTTAGAACGATCCGGTGCATTTGTCTCGGGGCCATTATTCGGGTTTTATTGCTACGCTCCTTGCTGGTCCGTATTAGATTCTTCAGTGTAGTTTCTGCATTCCGCTAACTCCAGCTGACTAATTGATGGCCTTTTGGAGTCGGAATTTTGTCTGAGTCATTTATTTTCCGCCTAGTCCAACGATATTCTACTGGCGTTTCTGGAGATATTCACCACCACAAATCATACGTCCAACTTATCCACGGAATCGAAGTTTTCCCTTTCGGATGACGCTGGTAGCCCCATAAATAGCGATGATCTATCGGGATGAGATCCAGTTCGTATTAAAAGTACTGGAAAAAGAGTGTTTTGGTTTCGGCGATGAGTTTAACATTCATTTATTTGCCTAATTTGTCATGAGTGCACATCCGAAAGTCTTGATACTCTCCGAAATGGCCGTGGAATGTGTTAAAATTAAGTTACTATTTATACTTCTGCTCTATTTTTTTATAAACCCGTTTGTTATATAATGTTAATTTTTTCCCGAAAATCGTAGGTAACAAACGCATTTCTAACATTCCGTTGTTATGGCATAACTTTCATAAAGCCTTCACAAATGTTTATACAGTATTTGACATTTTTTTAGTGTAAGGTGATACCATACTGGCAGTACAGGTACTAGCCAAAAGTCCATACACGCATGTTTCACCGATATTCTGTCGCCGTATGGCGCATCTGAGAGGGTTCGTCAGTGGATCCGCCAGCATTCCCCTTATGTTTTCTGGTAGATACTCCAATTTAGAATTTGTCGCTTTTTAATTTCCTCATAAATTATCTACGAACTCGGAATAGAAAAGTTTATGCAAGGTCTATAGGCTCAGACCGAGAATATCGACGAAACACGCGTGTACGGACTTTTGGCTAGTACCTGTGCATTTAGTATGTAGTCCCCTTACCCTAAAGTATACTACTAGCTGCCTGTCGACAGTTAATGAATATTACGCGGTTACCCGCCGTGGCTGATGGACTTCGGCGCGAATATTCATACATAAAATTCTCGCTCTGAGCTTATAGACCTTGAATAAACTTATCGACTCAAAGTTCGCATTTAATTTCTGGGGAAATTAAAAAGCAACAGTATTTGATATATTAAATGCCAGTCGGAATCCTTAAACGTGTTTTCGATTAGGAAGGATTATTTAGGTGAGGTTACCATAATGATTATCACGTAACATAATCCCAAGATATTTCTGTCGCGCCAAGATCCCGGCTTTTGAGTAAGCTTCGTTCCGGTCGTCTGTAAAAATCTGCAAAAGTGGCTACTTAAGCAGTTTCTATTTCTCTACTTGATTTCCATCGCCCTTATACACTCAAATGAATTTTATAGAAAATATGCCAGAAATGTCCTTCCTTGTAATCATTTAGCAACAAACTACGTCTTTTGAAATTGTATACTTGAAGAAAGAGATCTTTAGGTTTTAAAAACTTTTCCAATCCTCGAATATAAGCACGCTTTAGGATTTCCAAACAACATGTTGTATACTTTCAGCGGTAGGAAAATCATATATGTCTCCACACTATTAACTAGAGGTCATATAGGGCTGTCCCGCATTGCAAACACGTTTTCCGTAAACATATATGCTACTAGCAAGATTTTAGTAAAATGTGCATTTAACATTTATATTGTACGCTCCGTTTTCAATAGGGTCATCAGAGCCATTGTCTACTACCCTAAAATACACTATATATACGATCTTAAAAAGTCTCCTAACTACAACTTTTTTCAAAAGGCGCTCTTTTTTCAGACATGATATCTGGAGAAAACGTAATTTTCTAGCGGATGAGGACATGAAAAGTATTTTTTTGCATGTTCTCTATAAAATGTACGCTACTTTACGAGGCTGTTGAAAATAAATGTAAAGGTGCACACCACTTATTCAGTTATTTTTGCCGAGCTTGACTTTTTGTAGGTGGCCAGAAAGAAGTCTGGTTTGACTAAAAAAAGTCATGCGCTTATGTTACACGATAATCCTTTGTACAAACCCACTTAAGTAACCCTTCCTAATAGAAAACGCACTCCATAATTCCAGTTAACGTTTCATGAGATAATCCAGCTACTGTATTTCTGGTCTAGTCATCTGGCTTTTACCCTAGAATTCGCTGGTCCTTTGTTTAATCGAAGTTTGAACAGCTGAAGGAAAATCGCTTGCTGGCATAAGTTAACCACACGTTGCAACCTCCGACACGCACTTAAATTCCCTCTAAACGTTTGAGTAGCGTAAATTATGTCCTTTTCATTCAGTACCCCAGGGAATGATTCGGCTTCAAACCGCAGTGCCGGCATCCTTCTCTCCCCTCGCAAGGGTCTCAACGGCCCAATAAAAACGCCTAAGAAGGTACTCTTCGGGACACCCCTAGCCTCGGCGCCAATTCTGAACCTGAATAAGGCACACTCCCCCTACAGCAAACCGGTCCTTGAGTGTTCCCAGGCCGAACTGCAAATAGCGGCAGGTTTCGAGCCCGAAGCGTCTGATTTCCAGACCCTGTCATCTCCACCCTTTCCGTCGCAGAAACGTTCCGGACGCCAGAGTCTTCGTTCTCAACCAGTTCTCCAGCGCCAACGCCGTTCCCGTCGTTCACTGTTTCATTGATCGTCCCGCCGCTCTGTACTTTTTTCTCTCGTTCATGTTGCCCATTTCCTGGTTATGTTTTCTGTTTCTTCCGACTGTACAGATCAAAAAGACAAAATCACTGCTCAGATCACTTCTATGTCTGCCGGTTATCGTGCTCGTGTGATAAATTATTCTTTTTTGCATATCCTTCTTTTTTCGGGAAACTGTTGACATTTTCCTTATGTGGTTGTAGAATTTATTATTGGTAAATTATCGTCCAGAAGACCGTTTGGCCTCATCACATTGTCTGGCAGCACAGAATTGAGGTTGTATCACCGTCATAGGCACGCGTTTGAGCGAATTTGTCAGTAATGTGAGTCCCAGCATCTAACGATCCCGTGCGAATGGTTGGCGTTTTAGCGGGTTTCAAGTGCAGTTGTATAGTAGTATATTTTAGGGCAATAGGCAATACCCTCGACGAGTCTATTGAAAACGGCGCATACAATATAAACGTTAGATAGACATCTTACTAAAATGTTTCCAGTAACATATTTGCTTGCGGAAGACGTTTTACAGAGTGGAGCTGCGAAGGGTGCGGCAGACGATCCTTTCCATGTACACATGAAATTTTAGTGCGATTATATGCAACCAGTACAAAATGCAGTCATTTGCGTAGTTTGCAAGAGAAAATTACATTAAACGCGCAGCGTTGCATCACATAGCGAATTAAATCAGGAAATAAAGTCTACGACCGGTCGCAGATAGTCCTGTAGTGAGAGTCGTCGTTTACTAAAGATCAAATGATCCAACCGCCTTTTGAAAAAAACCATTTAATCAGATTTCATCATTTTACTTGGGAGTGGGTTCCACGGTCGAACTACACGCCGACTGAGTGGAAACTGCCGATGGTCTAGGCGTGTACGCTCCCGCCTGACTGTAGGGATGACCGCACAGATCGTGAAGTCAAAGATGTCTTCAGAGTTGAGCGAACATTCATGACCGTGGATAATGCGGAATGTCCATAACAAGTCACACTTTATTCGTCTATAGGATAGGGCGGAACAAATTAAGCTGGATCAATCTTTCTGGATATGACAGTCCTGAGACCGTCCACCAGTTTGTGGTCCGACTTTGCACCTGCTCTATGGCATCACTGTCTTTCTTCATCCAGGGCGACCATACTGACATTCTGTATTCCAAATACGGTCTGACGAACGTACCTAATACCTGCGCGAAGTGTTCGGAAGGAAAGACTGTGAAGGCAGGCCTATTCCGGTGCATGATGCTGGTTGCTTTTGGATGGCTCTTTTGCAGTGCTCGGAGGGCAGGGATAAAATTTTTCATAAGGCCGCATTTTGATAAACCCGTATGACTAATAAATCTGAATAGAATTAGTTTATGTATACATACTTCGGGTTTCCACTCCACACTCTTACAACAGTCTATGTAAAATACACATGTTACTGACTACGTTATAGTAGCATGTTTATTCCAACTTAATATCCGTGTGCCGTTTTTAATAAGGACTTCTGGGGGAGTGACATGAATGAGCAAAATCCGCACAAAACGTGTTCTCCAAAGTCTTACAGCAGTGGAAAAGAGACCGTTCTTAAAAAGAAGACTGGATTTGGTTTATGCATTATTAATTACTAACGTAAAAATAAATGCTCTCCACTGAAAACTGGAATTCCAGAAAATATCTGCATTATAAATCGCTTAAGTAGGGCAACTGTGAGGGTGCATAATGGAGGGGGACGCATGAAATGAGGAAACTAATAAAAACTAATGACAAGTACAAAAATCAGTGCTTTTGGTTGTCCATTTGTAGTTATCACAGCAGGAAGTCTCTCGTACATGGAGATGGCCAGGCTGTCTTAAGTGGATTGTTCAACGGGATTAACTAGTGGAAAATCAGGCTTTTCTTTCATCGAAAGTTTCTTCTTTGCCTTGACTTTTGATAAAAATCGACTGGAGGCAATACGCGGAAAGGCTGGCTGTTGTCTGAAAAGTCTAGTTACTGTTGAAAGTGTGATCCGATTCATATTTCTTCGGAACGATGGACAGGAGCATTGTCGTGTAAAATTATGACATTCATTCGGTGTCGTTGGAGGTCGCTGGAATACCGATGAACACCTTGTTGTCGATGGTGTCCACAGTTGACTGCCAGACTGGTCGCTCCTTGGATTTAAAAGCCATCCAGACCAATAATCACTGACAGTACTTGGAGGTTGCCGTTGGGGCCGTTTGTCTTTTTGGTAAATTCTTTCTACGTGTAACCATCTTCGTTGTCTTTGTAGGCTTGTCTAACAATAAGACCTTATTGCAGAAGTAAATGCTATTCCAGAATGAGGGTCGATAGTTTACTTCTTTGCAAATAAAACGCATTTCCTAATAGGTTTTCTACTTAAAAACGGCCTGATCATGGCCTTCTGTTTGTGAAGTTGAAAACTCTCTATTCTTTTCCCTTCTCATTTCTAGGAAAGATCGGAAAAAAACGAATTTCCCGTTTCCAGAGGAGATTTATTCCGTACTTTTCCTGTTTATATTAATATTCGTTTACGACACAATATACAGGAACATGTGGTTGGGATTTGGGGAATTTTTATAGCTTAGGAAATCATCTGGATATCAAGAGGGGTCAGATTTAGCTAAAATCTGGTTTGTTTTTCTATAATAAAACTGAGTTGATATGACTTCCCCTTCATTAAATGGCTTTCTGTGCCTCAAATCAATTTAAAAAACGCAAACAACTGAAATTTCGACTACGAAATTTTATCAGTAAGACCACCTACTGTATGCCCAACTAGTGACGATGGATACTATTGAGTTCCATGGTGCTCTTGAAATGTCAGTAAATACTCTGCGGATCTCATTGTTCCTGATCGACTGCCCACACAGACAGGTTCTGTGCTACTTTTTAAAACCTTCAAAATAAAATATTTCTTGAGAGGATTTACCGAAACAGTGAGTTCTTGGGCACCCTACTGCAGACGACCGTTTTGATCACGTTTATAGACTCATTCTGTCACCGAGGGAAATGAACATCCACGACGAAAGTCGGCTATAAATATCTTCTGGATCAATTGAAAAAACTTTCTCTCATAAGTTACCTCTTTAAATATCGCTTTAGCAAGATATTTTGCCGATAAAATTTAAACATTTGGCCGGCTTTTTCACTTCCCTGAAAAACTGTCATAATTTTTCTGTGGCAAAAGAGAGAACTGGAGTTTCGCTTAGTATCGAGGACATTCATGCTATCTTCGCTTACATTTGGTGTTCCGTTTCACTATAGTAAGTACGCAGCAAAATGACCATATAGATACTAGCATACTGTTGCAAATGTTAATGTTCTGCCCGCTCCGCTTCTGAATTATCTGCTAGCGGAGACTAGGCAATACACGAAGCATCTCATAATATGCTTAAAAGTAAACTCAGGCGCTCAGTGGAGGGATTTTTCACCGCCATTTAGAAAGTAGATAAGATATGGTTATGTGGCCACGCCTAATGAACACAATATTGCTGACCTACTTAATTATTTCGAGTTGATGTGATTACGTTGGTCTGGTGTTGCTGTGTGTGTTTTGTTGGCGGCCCTGTTTCTTTGTTGCCGTGTCTACATTTTTTGCCCAATGCCGGTGGTCCTTACTGACTTTCGGCCTGTCGCCTCCCTCTAACTTTCGAGTTGGATTTTTCAGGGTTAGAATTTAGGGCTGCAGGTAAGGGTTAGGTTTAGTGTTAAAGGGTTAGAGTAGGGGTTGGGGTTAGGGTAACGATTTTTTAACCACTCCAAGTAAAACCGCACATCCCCAATAGCTTTTGCATACAGTTACTTGACCTCGTCGCCTGTGCGTTCCCCGGCCCCACCTGTAAAAACCCTTATTACCACCGGTCCCGTAGTACAGGTGACTGGGATTTGTTTACCTCAGGTGCAGCTAAATAACCACATCTGACCAGAAAGTATTTGCAAATGGCAGGGAAACGTCGGTACGTCTAAACAAACGACTGCCCGTGGGAGTTACCGCCAGGCTTTGCGAAACGAAATCACACAGATTTACAAAGCTGACTTTTTAAAATCTACAGAATATACGGCATTACTAAGAAGGTAACGATAGGGTATAGGATCCCCAAGTGGGCATTTACTTCAAAATATGCCCTAAAATTCGGCGTGACTGTAAACACCGCTTATTATTCAGTTCCAATTTTCTGAAATTTCCTCCCCTTCCCTGACTAAATCTAAACTAATCAACGACGCTCTATTCGAAATCCGTTCTATTTTTAAAATTGCTTTTTATTTATTTTTTAAATATCGTGCTCACTTGCTTCGCCAACTGACTTTCGGCAGAAATTTATTTATTTTCTGTGTCTTCTTGCTCTGAGGCCTGTGTGTTGCCCCATCTGTAACAGGCCTTCTACCACCATTCAACGTATTACACGGTCCACAGGCTAGCTCAAGGTCCTGCACCCTATCGTTGCCCTGCCCATAAAACCTCCGTTACCACCATTCCCATGTAACACGACCCACAGTCTACCGACAGTTCATTGGAGTCCCTCATCCTACCGTTGCCCTATTTTCTTATGGTTAAAAAGAAGTGTAGGCAATTTGATAAATTCACTACAGGCAGAACCGAGATAAACGCACCCATTTGTTCTAAAGGTGGTGTTTTGTAGATAGCTCAATCTAGAGCCAGCATAACAAGCTGTTTAGTCACTTTTCATACGTTTAACAAAAGGACATCAGAAGAGTTTTAATAGTGACTAGTTATTTTGGATCCTCTGAGAGAGTTTGACTGTCGAAAGCGACAACTTCCACTGTGTGTCCCACGGAATTTGTGACGCGCGCGATTAATTTATAGTGAGGCAGCCCTGCGCAGCATCTATCGCACTCCCTCTTTCCACAACCACTTTACTCCGATGGCAAGACAATCCCAAGACGACAGAAGACTGGCTCGATCTTAATGGCTGACAAGGCTACATACAGTGCGTGACCGATTTCATGAAATGTTGGCCAAAATTCTGGAATGCGTTTCCAATTAGGAAGG